CCCCCCCACCACACACACACACAAATAATATAAATATTCATTATTATTCTTTAATTAACGACAAATTACAAATAGATTATCACTCAAAATTAACATTTTTTTTTTTATTTATGAAGAAGAAAATGCTAAGAAGAAAATGATAACATATCCTAAACATTATTATTTTGTATGTCACTGATCTCAAATCTACATTATAAATTTGAATATTAAAAATAATAATTCCTAACAACTAAAATAACTAATATTTGAAATCTTGTAAATTAAGGTTCCAATTGATTGGTATAAAGAAATCATGTAATTGTTTTTAAAAAAGAACTTGCATATGTTAATTGCATAATTTTTTTAAAATATAAATTAAGAATATAACACAAAAGAGTATGCCAAAGCTAGATGACAATATTAAATTATATTTTAATAAATATTAATGTTTACAAAAATTCATTATCGCAATATAAACGTTTCGACTCAATATGGTCATCTTTAATGCAAATACAATTAATAAAAATAAAATAAAATACAAATAAATTAAATAAAACGTTATTTCTGATATACGTAAAATTCGATTAATAAAAATTTTAAGCTCCTTATCCAAAATATAAAATTCATAAATGAAAAAGATGAAAGAGAATCAATACTTCACAATACTTCAGTTTTCTACAGTTGGATCAGACACATACAAAAATATGTCTAATGGAATGAAAATTAACGGAAAATAAAATATCTCAAGAACCGACAGATTTTATAATTTTTTTTTAAGCGACTATACTTCTTTTACATTAATTGATTTATTTAATTATTCTATGTATAAAAGTATTAAGATACATTTATTAAGAAATAAATAATTATAAAATATTTTATATTTTGTCAGAATATGTAAGAATAAAATATAAAATATCTCAAACTATTGATTTTTAATATTTGTATCTTAATAATTTTTTATGCAGAATAACTAAAGAGAAATTATATAACATAAAATACATATACACGTATTATATAACAAAAAATACACATATATATATATATATATATATATACACACATTTACCATGCACACACACGTACATACAAATTTCTCTATTTACCAGGTTTAAAACCAGAAATTAAAAACTCTTGTGTATAAAATTTCAATTATGCATAAGCCAAATTAAATTTTCTTAAAATTTTATTATCATATTAGATCTACCATTTTAATCTTTTTTAAATTTTAAATTTATTTAAAAATAAAACTTGAATATAAGAAAGAGACTAAGGAAGAGTTAAGAATACAAAGATGTATCAATGTATAATAATAGCAAAATGTTATTAAAGTTTAAAAAAACATATTTATATATTTGTATTGTACTTTTGGAATATCGACTCAATAAATTTGAATATAAAAAGTTAAAATATCTAAATAATCTAAATAAAGTTATAAAAGAAATTATAAAATATCTAAAAAATCTAAATAAAGTTATATGCTTTTTAACATTTTTATGAGATAGAATATTTGTAATTAACATTTTTCTGAAGGGAATAAACAATTTAATTACAAATCAACTAAAAGAAACAAAAATCAACTCCTAAAATCAACTACAAGAAACAAAAAAAATTAATAATTTATAAAAAGACTATGAGTTAGCATCAAATAAGATAAATATATAAATAAGATAAATATATATAAGATATAAAAATAAATGATGTATGTATAAATAATTTAATATATTAATGCATTAGAATTATATGATAATAATTCTGGAATACAATACATGCCCTAATGTACTAGCTTGTATTGCAATATTTCTGTCCAGAAAAATTAATATAAATTTAAAAATATTAGACTATTCCCAAACTATTCAAAGAATGCTTTGTTTTTATATAAGCTCAGAAAAAATAAAACAATCTATAAAATTTTTATGCTGCCATGCTCGCTATATTTTAACATATATTATACAACTTTAAACAAGATATAAAATATTTAAAATCAAGGAAGCCCAAGGAACGATCAGAAATTAAATCAGACAAAAAGCAACGAATCATATGTCTCACTTACCCCAACTTTAGGAAGATTATTTAACATTTTGTGCTTCTCTTTTTCTTGTACATCGACTATCATTTCTTTTTGGCACTGGATTGCTGGTATTTTTGGTTGAGATATTTGTGGTACATTGACACATTTTTTGATAAACTCTACAGTTTCCAGTAGCTTCTTCCTAAAAAAAAAAAAATATGTAAACTCGCAAACTACATAACCTATATAACCTATAAACATATATAACATTCTTTATATTAAAATATTATATAACCTCACCTACTATTGGGATTAACTTCAATTTCACACTGATAACACCAAATGCTCCAATAATGTGAGTCTGTTACCATGCAATGGCAGTCGCTATGAGGCTTTCTATAATGTTCTAGAGCATGCTGCTTTTGTTCCTTGCTACAATTCTGTTCCCCACATTGTAGGCAGATCCATAATGGCTTTGAAATATCACACTGTAAATTTAAATTCTGCATTAGAGATATCTGATATTTCAATCAGATAATTATATTTACAATGTCATTTACAATCTCTTCTGCTTTCTTCTGATCCGCCTCTAGCTTTTTGCACATGGGACACTCGCTCAATATGCCAGTTTTCTTTAGATTCTTTTTCACTTTGTTTAAATTGATAGCTTTCGTTATATGCGAACATTTCAAATCTGCCAACAAATTAATTGATATTATTTAATATATCAAGTAATACAAATATGAGTTTAATAAAAGGTCTCTTATAAACTTATAATAGGTAAACGCTTTCTAGAAATGTAAATTTAAATTAAATTATAGATACGTTTTTAGAATTCTTTAGCGTCAAAAGTCTAATTCATCGAAATTTCACAATTGTGATGTATACATCTCTATTTCTAAATTGCTCGAATCATTTTCTCTCTAAAAACTCGAAGATATTTCTATCTAAAAGACTCGGAAGAAACGGAAGGTTAGGAATTGGAAAGTAAGAAAGCGATGAGATTCGAAAATTTGATGACACAGGAACACTTGGCAATCTGAAAATCGGGAACTTTGGGTGGGAAAGCATGCGTTTCTAACCTATGCTCGCCTCCTCGCAAGACTCAGTGGAAGCCTCGCTGACATCAGGATTCGCATCTGGCTGCCTATTCCGCTTCTTGCTCATCTTGCCGCGTTACCCGTGGACGTTCTCACGTGCGCGCGTTGCGTTCACCGCGCCAGAAATTCCTTTGCTCGTCAGCTAAACCCTGATGTTTGCGTATGTAAAAAAAACATGTGGAGAATCAATCCATGCGCGTGCGCGCGCGTACACAAAGCAAAGCACGAGTCCAAGCCTGAATCAGACTACGCGTTGAAGGTTAAGATTGCATATCGTAGATATGTAATCTCTAATCGCGATATTAGCCAATAACTTCGCAACTTTTTGATCATGTGATGAACATAAGTCTCGATTCACAATAGGTATTTAATTTTTAAGTCGTAAGAAATTGACCAAAATCATATAGCCATTTCTATCAATGTAGATTAATTTCGGTTTAAATCTATTTTTTATCTTCTTCTAATTTTTCGAATCAAAAAAAGAAGAACAAGTTAAACTAAGATTAAAATTAATCTACGTTGGTAGAAATGGTTGATAGTCGATTATTGTTTTCATATTCGATTATGATTGGTGAATTTCTTATTTCTTAAAACTTAAATCACCTATTGTGGACCGACACTTAAACGGTATCTAAACTGTTGTAAAATTCTTTAATATGATTGGCTTATATACTTAGATCCATGAGGAACTAGTGGCAAAAACCAATCATATCAAAGATTTTTACAATAGTTGCAAAGTTGCTTTCTCTGCTGATCGCAGCCATTTTGTTTCAAGCTTGTGAACGTTCAAAGGTTGAAATTCGCACGCAATAGTAAGAGAATAAATTTTATATAAAGAAAAATGCTAAACATGGAGATAGTAGGAGCATGCATAAAATGTAACTTTGACACGCCGATTGCTGTGCAAGAATTACGAGAACAAATCGAAGAAGCAACGGTAAGTGACCGAGACTAATTCTATCCAAGTCTAGAAGCTAGACTACATAACCTTAATTTTATAAAAAGTTAATATCACTTATTTTGTTCGATAAATGTTACAGTCAATAATGTAAAGTTTTAAAAAACATAAAAAATATAAGTGATCATTTTCTATTTATCAAATCTTAAATATTTTTTTATAAAATCTTAAAGATTTCACTCTTAGAAATAATATCTTTGAGATTCCTTTTAGACGTGCGAGTTTTTAGATAAAGTAATATATGCATCTTATAAATAATGAATAATTATAATATTGATAAAGGCATTAATAACATCATGGATTAATTTCTGTTTTCAGGGGCTTGTACACAACCAATATTATATCCTGTACAATGGTCGACTTGTACAGGACAATGATATCTGTTCGAATAATCATGCAGTTGTGGTTCCGAGACTGTTGGGTGGCAAAGGTGGTTTTGGATCCATGTTACGTGCGATAGGTGCACAGATAGAGAAGACAACGAATCGCGAAGCCTGCAGGGATCTCAGCGGTCGCAGATTGCGTGATATAAATGAGGAAAAGAGGCTGAAAGCTTGGATCGAGAAGCAGACCAAGAGAGAGAAAGAGTTAGTTGAGCGCAAGAAGAAGAAACTGGAGAAACTGTGCGCTGAACCAAAACATGAGTTCAAAGATCAGCGTTATGATCAGGAGCGTGCAGAGTTGACCGAGAGGGTTGGAGATGCTGTGGAAGAAGGCTTCAAGGCCGCTGGCACTTCGGGCATTAAGAGAAAACGAGAAGAGACCAACAAATCTAATAAACGCAAGACCATGCTATATTTAGACATCGATATAGACTCGGATGAGTTTGATGATTCTGATGATAATGACATGGATGAAGCACTACCAGAAGAAATCAAGACGAAAGAACAAATATCAAATGAGAGTGGACATTCCAGTGACGATGCCGAAAAAGTCAACGAAAACGAATGTTCCAAATCTAAATCATTGATTGACAATCAAATAAGCGACAAAACATCAAGTAATGATTCATTAAATACAAAATGTATTGTCGACTCTGTGTAAAATCTTACCTAAAAAAAATCTATAAAATAAAATAATTATCTTTTATTATTATATATATGTTGTTTTAGAGAAGCTAGGTTGATATTAGCTTTATATCAGAATTAATTTGTGCAATAATCACTTTATTATCAGAGATAATACAATAAATCCAACATAGTATTTCGAACATGTTATGTCATTTAACGAATAATTATAAGTAAAGTAAGGATGGAATAAGAAGTAAATTATATCAAGCAAATTTTTTGTAATTTATCGTTTTAGTATTATAATATATTGCAATAAATTTTAAATTATTCTGAACAAGACCTGAACTTCTTTCTACATACAAGATAGATAATCTATAAATTTCCAAATCTTATCCCAACGGTTTTTTAAGCATTTAATTCTTTGGTGAGTTTTATCCCAATTATAAATAAAATTCCTGACGTAACGATTGATTTTGAGAAATCGTTTGCGGGTACTCATTCATCCAGTAAAAATTTATAATGCATTGTTATAAAGCAAGATTAAAAACTCGATATGAAAAAAAAAGATAATTTCATCTTTATTGCAAAATAATACAAAACACAAGATCAATCGTCACATTAGCAATTTTATTATTTATTGTTGAAGTCGACAACTTTTAAATATAAAATTCCCGATAAATATAGACATGTGAAACATGATACAAAAAATATATACATATGGTTAATATATTTAAAATATACACAATATATTTAAAAAAGATGGAATACATACATCTCGTAAAATTTCGTGGACAAATACGGAACGTTTGCGGCAAGTTTTGAAAAATTTAAATTGTAAAAATCAGAGCGAGATTATTAGATTTTATACAATAATTTATCTCATAATTCTTGTACAAAATCAAAAAGATTTGGACAGGTAGGACTATATATATTAGAATGGTAATAGTTGGTTGCATAGGTGAGATATTTTGTTTTTAAATATCTCCCATTGATTCATACAGTCATCTGACATCATAAGCGGAAAAACATATGATGAAAATTCTTATAAAATAGATTAAAATAAAAATATTTTCCGATAAAATAACATTTTTATAAAATAAAGAGAAACATTTTTAATAATTATACAATTGACAATAATTTTCATTTTATCAGAATATTCATTAATAATTTCATTATTAAGTTATTACATTTAAATTTTTCATAAATGTAGTAACATTTACGCATTAATCTGGTATGGTACAAGAATTTGCTATTAATTACAATATTATATCATATATATGACACAATATCACCAGTTGAACGTATATAATATTGTCACGAATATTTTTGATCGA